ATTATTACATAATAAAAATAAATCTACATATGCAATAAAATTCATGTCATTACTATGACATGTTTGTATGATATTATTGATTTTTTTCTTCTATTTGTATATTTTAAAAGAAAATGTATTTTTTACTATATTTATTGTTATTTAGATTTAGTTAATGAAATTTTTTTTTTAATTTATTAATTTTCAACTTTAAACGTTTTATTTAATTAAATAAATTAATTGTTTCCTGTTTTCTTTATTAACAAGATTTACTTATTACAGGGGTTTTCCGGCCCCATTTGTCCTTTTTGAGGGGAGTGAACAATACCGGCTTTTGACCACAATGAAAGGTATTAACATCACACTGTATACAACGTCTAACTCTAAGGATTTAATTTATCTCTATCAGCAGTTCTGCCTTTCCATTTATCATGTGGCTCTCACTACAAAAAACCAGCATCGAAGACTATACATTGAGGAGTAATTACCCCTGATATTTCGGCAATTCGGTGCTACAGCTGTGTAATATATTAATATTAATTCTTGATCAAAAATAGCCGATGCCAAAGTAAACCACACCGTTGTAATGTGTCTAATTGCCGTGATGACGAATTGCGCTAAATTGCCGTAATAAATTCGTTTAATCATTTTTAATATTTTTTTGGGGGGATTTTCTCTTTTTTTAAACGACTTTTACAGTTTTGGCATTAAGGCAAGTTTCGCAGTGGTGATTTTTTCAAAAAAAATAATTTCCGTAATAATATCAATTCGGCAATTCGGCATTATGGCGGCGTAATTCATTTCGACATACGGCAGCGTATTAATTACACCGCCATTAATTCTGCATTAACTGATTCTAATTCACCCCAATATATAATCGAGGACAAAGCTGAGATGAATTGTACTCATTTATACCAGTAACAAAGCAACCAATATAATTTGATTTGATTCTTTTGATTAAATGCTCTGTCAATTTATTATGGACAATAGAAACAAAGTAAACATTTACCTTGTTTCTATTGTACACAACCCATATTTAATATTCATAAAGATTAGATATTGCACCCAATAAATAATATTCAGTGAATATTTGGCTAAACGGATATTTGATTTTATTGAATGATTGACTGAATATAATAAATTTGAATATTATTTAATGATTGAATATTTTAATTATTCCAAACGATTATCCGAATATTAAATTTGATTGAATGAATGAAATAAATATTCAGTGAGTACAACATCTAATAAGGATGATTAATACCCTACATTTCATAAAAACCTATTTTCATTCAAAACAAGAAGAATTTTTTTGGTAATTTCATCTAAAGATTCAGATTTTTGTGAAGATTTATTTTTTTCGTTCAACTTGATTTGAGTAAATGCACATTGCTAATTTTCTTTATCAATCTATTTTTCCTTGTACATATGTAAACTCGATAAGTTGGTCACTCCATTTTCTTAATATTTAAGTAATTTAATTCGATAAGTCAGTCATATGAGCTCACCCCCACATGACCGGCCTATCAAGTTTACATATGTATACAGTCAAAGCTAAGCTCGTTAAATTCATAGGTCTGGCGCAGCAAAATTTATGAAGTTAACGAATTACGCCATTACCAAGCAAGAGTCGCTCTTTAATTTCATGATATAATGAGAATAGTAATGATAAAATTTTTATTGTAAAAAAGTTCCTCGTTATTGCTTTTCATAAATTCCATGTTTTTCAAGAAAAGATAAACCGTTTTTTGTTCTTTTTTTGTCAAGTGAAGTCTTATTATTATCTGTGCAATGTTTAATTCCAAGCAATTTTTCTTTGAGTAAATTGTATTATGAAAGTTGTGGGATTCAAAGGGATTCAAAAGATATGATAACAACAAAGTGTAAAGCTTCAAGTTTGTGTAATTATTTACACATGATTTATTGCAAGAATGGGCTACATGATACCCTTGTAAAAGTATTTTAAACTGTATAAAAAAAATTGAAATCAATTGTGAAAATCCATTCCTTATATAGGACGGTCTCTCCTGTTGGTTCTGAGCTTTGATCTGTTAAACCAAGAGTTTTATTAGACATCCGCTATACTGAGGTCCGCTATACCGAGACTTACTGTGTAAATATGAAAAAAAGTTTATTTTTATGTTAAGTTGCACAAACACATGATCCAGGTAAATTACCCAGTGAGTATATATGTTTAGATATTTTCTTAATAATATTCATTTTTCATGCACCTTGTTGATCAGCCAATAAAATTTAAGCCCTATGTTATGAAATAATATACACACAAATAGTTTCTTTTTTTCGTTTTTGTTGATGAGATGCTGATTATTTGGAAAAACATTCTTAAATAGAAGTTAGCAAATTTAAAAATCAATAACAATAATGTAGGAAATTAGACATCACACAACTCTGTTGTTCAGACAACATGTCAAAAGTTTTTCTTTTCTTAATTATTTTTCAATAAAATTTTTTCAGAGACTGGAACTGGAATAGTTGGATTTAGGCAACATGTTAAAGATTTTCTTTACTAATAAGATTCCAGAATAGTTACTAATTATTTTTTAATAAACTTTTTTTTAGATTGACTTGGATGACTGGATTTAGGTAACTCATTAAAAGATGTTCTTTGACAAATAAATTTTCAGAATATTTACAAACTATTTTTAACAACTTTCATTTCAAAGTTTTATTGAGACTGGAACTGGAAGAAGGTAATTAAATTATGTTCGCCTCCATAAAACTCTTTATCATAATAATAAACAAATTATTAATATTAAATAATTATTAGGACATTGAAGTTGGTTAAAGACTCAAAATATTCAAAAATAATTCCTTGTGTATAAGGGCTAATTTGAAGCTGGAGTCCCTATGATATGACAATGCAATTAAGTTTCAGGAAGGGGCAGCAGGGTTCTGAGGTTTGTTAATTGTGTTGTTGACGAAGAGACTATTAAAGCCTCTCACTTGTCTTAAAGCCTACTAATGTATGAATGGCGTCACCTATAGAGAAATTCTATGGTTATGAGGAGTGCAATATGCATGATAGTACATTTGTAAAAGGAAATTTTATTAAATCTGACACCTATGATCAATGTCAGATTTATTCTTTATTTTTTATTTTTATTTTTTATTTTTTTGGAGATGATTTTAAGGAAGGAACTCTGCAACTTGTGTATAGATTTATTTATTTTATTTTTTTGGAAACAGTTTTAAGAAACTCTGTGATTTGGAATTGGAAGCATATATGCATAAAAATTCAGTTTTGCATGGTCTTAGTATTATTACTACTTGGATGATTCAATTTTTTTTTAGAATTAAATTTATTTAATTTCTAATCTAACAAACTGATTGAATGAGTTTTTTCTGGAGAATAGACTTAATTACTCAAAGATGTTGTATCCTAGAACCAGAAACAATAAGAGTTTGAATGAGTTTAAAAAGTTTGCAGAGATGATGGATTTTATATATGAATTGAAAAAAAATAGAATGTCCTTAGGTTTTTTATTTGAATAAGGTTTATTCAAATTATTTGTTTCATTGTTATGAATTTATGTATTCAAATTAGTGATGTTAGCCGTTTAAAAATCCTTAGCCGGCTAAGCCGTTTACTACCTAAATTGGTAATTTGATTTCTATAACAAGAAAGTATCGCAGAAATCTATTGCCAAATTTAGAAATTATGCATGCAGATTATTAGCCGGCTAACATCACTAATTCAAATTAGATTGAAAGTTTGGTCAAATAAAATGAATAATTTGAATGAAATAAATAAAATGAATGAAATGAATAAATCGAATAATTTGAACAAAATGAACAAAATGAACAAAACAAATAAAGCAATAAAGCAAACAAAGCAAATAATTCAATTAATATTAATATTAAGATTATAATAAACATGCAAATTTTTGTGGTACATCTAACAATACAATCAGACTTATAACTGGCCAGCTATGGCATTATGTATTAAATGGATCATGATCTCCATTCTAATTTTGGTAAGAAATGGACTATTGCTATCATAGTATAATAATTATGTATTTAGAAATAGGATCCTTCCGGAATCTCTACCTCACAACACATTTGCTAAAACAAGCTATAATTTTTTTATGAAGTTATTATGTATATTTTGCATAGTTAATGAATTTAGAATGTCTGTAATTTTTGGGTCAAATGTAAACCAAAAAACCAAAAAACTGAACTATTCAGAAATTTAACCATCACATATTTCTCCATAATCAATATTTTAAAACTTAAACAAGAAGCCAATGAAAAATGATACAAGACTAAAAGAAGAGTATACATGTATGATAATATGAAAAAAGAAAAAAGGAAACAATTCAAAGATAAAAACAATGAATTATATAAAAAAGTTTTCTTAATAATAAAAATATTAAAAACACAAATAGATCCATTAGAAAAATCATTATACAATCAGCAATAGACCATATACCATTAAAATGGATAGCAAATGAAAAAACTAATACTAAAGAAAAATCTCCATCATTAAAATTAAATTATAGATACCTAAAATATTTGGTAAAATTATAATAAGATTAGATAAATAAGAAAGGGACTCCCAACAAATGAAGAATGGATTATAATAAAAATTAATATTGTGGATATTTCAAAGGAAATTGAACATCCATTAGAAAGTATAGATAATTTCATCAATGAAAACAATATAAACAAAATGAAAAAACGTTTTCAAAATATACAATACAATAACAATAACATGTAAATTACAAGAAACAAAATTTGAACAAGATCAATTAATTATTTTATTGAAAAAAAAAATATGGAAGGATTACAGAGCCAAGGATTCATGATAGATTCTATATTGGAAAGGGAACATAAACACATAATTTTAGATAGAGTTATATATAAAGAAAATAATATTATCATGCAAATTACTGACCCAGGGAAAATCAAAATGTGGTAGGTAACATAAATGAATCAAGATCTTTAAATGATCATTGGAACCTTCAATACCATCCAAAAGATGACATAAATTCAGGAATATACCATGGTATAATGGACTCACATTCTTTCAAAAATGGAAACAAATTTTAACATCACTATCAAATGACAAAGCCACAGGTCCATATAAGTAATGAAATGCTTAAAATCTAGGTAAAAATTAAACAAATGTTTATCAGTTAATCATACAGCATGTATTAAACTAAATGACATTCCAATCAATGGAAGTTTGTCACGATATATCCAATTTCCAAACAAATAAACTGGAAGTGTATAGAGAAGACTTGACCTATAACTTTATTAGAATGTACCAGGAAAGCAATGGTTAAATTAATAAACAAATACCTATCACAGATCATTGGGGCATGAGATGCCCTAATTAAATACAATTATTTTTGTATTTATGGATTGTCTGAGGGCAGCTTTCCATAAGAAAGAGAGAGAGATTTTCAATAATTATGGTATTATTTTTTTACATGATCATTGTTAACCCAACCATTTGTTTATTATTGCAAGAATCTCATCATTATGTGATAGATTCATGTTTCAATTCACCTTGCTATATCTAAGTTGATTGATTAACTGTACAACAGTATGTGCTTTAATTTTTTTATGTCCATTTCTTTTTTTTTCTAATTAACAAAAAAAGAATAAGCAAAACTGGCAGAGAATCAACTCCCAAGTAAGTATCATTAGAGAACCCTGAATGATGTTAGAAACCATTAGTCAAGCTCTAATTTAATTAATTTAACTTATTTTAATTTATTTCTAATTTACATTCACTACTACTATCGACAATTATAATGATAATACTAATAGTATTATTACTAAATACTAAATGTATTTGTAAGCCTTAAATCTCAAGTTGAACTGAAACCTACAAGAGAATACGAAATATGAAGTTGATGGATGCCAATAAAAGCAATAAGGCCATTAATGATATCAGCAATAATGTTGGTACTGAAAACAACAAGTTATTTGAATCTTTCAGGAATAGAAAATTATTTAATCAGCACAGCAATATTCATGAAAAAAATCTTGAGTGTGAAAATCCAAGGATGTAACAAAATATTTTGCCAAAAAGGCAATTTGCTATATCACACCAAGCACCATCTTAGAATAAGAGAATTCAAGTGTGAATACATACCAGGATGTGCAAAAAAACCATTTTGTTGAAATATGAATTAAAGGTTCACACAGAAGCCATTTTGGAATAAACATGAATGGCAAAGCATTTTGTCAAAATTATGTATTAAAAGTTCGCACAGAAGTTCATTTTGGAATAAATTAAAATTTGAAAAACACCAGTTGTTTGCCTTCAAATGTTGTTGATAAATGCCCAATTGTTTTTTTTTTCAAAAAAGTGGCCGAAGCTTGACACACAAGTAAGTATTATTAGAGAATGATTGTTTTCTAATTTATTATTTAACTTTGACTTCTATTTATACTTATTTAGCAACCAATCAATTTCCAATTACTTTTCTTCATTACTACCAACACTTGATCAGCTCAAAACATTTTGTCTATCTGGCAGTTTACTAAAGCATAAAAGATCGTAAATGGTAATGTACCTGAATGTGACAAAAAATTTGTTACAAAAATATAAACTCAACAAACACAAATTAAATATGATGATTTAATTAAACAAACATACTACATACACCGTGAATTTCAATTCAGCAGATCTTAATAATAATAAAAATCTTGATTTAATGGATTAATAGAAATTCACTTTTAATTTACAAAATGTTTGTTTTATTATTGATTTTTTAATCATATTATAAAAATGTAATTTTTTATCAGTTTAGTATATTGATCCAAAAAATTAATATTATTGGTGATGGTGGTGGTGGTGAACAAATTCAGGAAAAGAAGAGGAGTGAAGAAAAATGGAAAAATGGAAAACCTTAATCATAAAAATGGTTTCAAATAATTTTTATAATTGGTATCAATTCCAGATCTGCCCACAACAACCAGGTTTTATTTATTTTAAAGTTGGCATATATTTGGTGTGTGTAAATAATATTCAGCTAAATTATCTTATTGGCATATGAATTGACTTTGAACATTCCAACAAGTTTTAGAAGGGAAGGGGTCGGTTGATGTGAGCCACATCAATGTTAACATATCAAGTTCACATTTCATGAGACAACAGAATGTCTCATGCCCATCTTAAATTTCATTGGGCATATTCAATTTTACAAAATTTTTATATTTCTTTCATTTAGTGATGAAAGCATCTGATTGCAAAATTTCAACTAAATATCAGGCATGGCTTGGAGAATGTCAAAATACGCAAAATGCCAGTATTCCATATTTGGCAAAGTCCTACTTTTCTTATATATATTTAAGAGAAGACTAAAGAATTATATTAAAAAATTTATCATAAAAGAGAGAAAATGAAACAATTACTAAAATTTTTGAACTGCGTAATTCTCATCCCATTTATTATTTGTTTATTATTAATTTATTGTTAAATATTAAATCCCAGTTAGCAAATATAATTGGGCCTTTACAAAAGCCTTTGAACATGATTTTGAATTCAACCATTTTTTAAAGGTTATAAGTATTTATTGATTTTTCTAGGTCATTAATTTTGGGATTTATTTTTTTGTCAAAGTTCCATCCATATAATGTATTGGATATGTAATCATAATCATCATTAATTAGCTTCATTGCTGTCCGATAAAGGACGTATGCAAGGTTGACAAATCCAATGAGGAAATGTTTTGTAACCATTTTCATCCTTCCTAATGTCTATATTTTCATCATTTTCTGCAGCTGTTTTCTATATATATATAATATTTAATAATTTAATTAATGGAATGAACAACAACAACAATATACGTACCATTAATCGTTTATTTAATTCTTCAGATATTGAACATATTTCTTCAAAACTGTTTGCTTTACCTAATTTTTCTCTTAAATCTACATGAAAAGGTAGTGCAGGCTTATAAATTTTAAAAAGGTGACCACGAATACAAGTAAGTCTGGTGGAAATAGTTTTACAAATCTCTAAATATTCAGCTGACATTTGCCATACTGGAGGATTTATTCCAGCAAAAATTGCCGGATTATAAAGATTTCCTTCAGCTGACATTATTCCATCAACACCAGTTATGTCTATGCAATTTTGGATGTCTTCAAAGTAAAGAATATTTCCATTAGCAAAAACTGGTATTTTAAGTTCTTTCCTAAATCCATCATTGTCATAATTCGAAATTAGATTCAAAAAAATTTTTTTAAAAAAAAGATAATTCAGTATTGAATAATATTTTATATATATACATATATATACTTTATACGACGAATCTGTTCCCAATCAGCCAAAGCAGTTTTATGACCTTTTTGATCACGTATTCGACCATGTACTGCTAATAATTGTGCACCAGCACTTTCAATCATTTTTGCATATCTTAAAGTTTTCTCAACATCAGGAAAAATACGGATTTTGGCTGTTACAGGAACTGAAAGATTTTTATGAAGTGTGTTTACTAAACAATTTTTTTTTAAAAATTAATATATTAATAATATAAATATTTATCAAAAATAATTATATATAATGTTACAATTATAGTTATAATTACTTTATATCTTAATATTTACTTAATTTATAAATTAATTCCCATTCGTCTTGTAAATAAGAACCATAATGACCTTTCCTTGCAATATGTTGAGGACATCCTAAATTTAAATCAACACCATCACAATCATTTTGAATTTTCAAAGCTGCTTTTAATAATATATCTGGATCATTTGCACAAAACTATATAAATATTATCAATTTAATTGATCAATTACATAAAATATTTCAAGGTTTTAATTTTTTTCTAATAAAGAAAAGCCAATAAACCTGAACAATTAATGGTCTGTCATCTTTTCCAGTTGACCAAACATCTTTTCGATACTGTTTATTACTATCTTCACAAAACATTTTTGCATGTAACATAGGTGTATAACATACTTGAGCCCCATATCTGCGTGATAAAACTCTCCACGAGTATTCAGATTGATCCACCATTGGAGCTAATATATATTTTGCATTTTTTAAAACTTTGTTATAAAATTCGTATCCTTGCAATTTTTGTGGTTGTGCCATTAGTATTAGTATAATTAGGATTGAATTAAAAAAAAAAAATAATGTGGGCCATAACCAAAGTGGACATTTGCATTACCAAGAATTTCAGGGATCATAGATGTTTTGTTATGTGTAACATAAAATTCGGATATAACCACACTAATGGTCATTGTTGAGCTTTTGGTTGGTCACTATTGAGCTTGAAAACGTACAAGGAATATTCAATTGGTAGCATTTTTGAGGTCATTGTTGAACTTGAAAAATATACCAGGAATATTCATTAAGCCAGTAATTCCAAGGTTATTATTGAGCTTGGAATATATTATTTGGTTAGTAATTTCAAGATCATCAAAATATATATTGACTTTTTTTGAATTAAATGGTCAGTATATGAATTGGGAAAACCAAAAGAATGTAACAAGTGTAAAGCAACAAGATACTCTGATAAATTTTGTGAAAATTGTGTTAGTCTACATTTGCAAAGTCTTTTCAATAATTGGACGAACATCCGGAAATGAGATAATTGATAACTTTATTCAACAATGTCAAAGCTTTCATCTCCTCCAACACATATTTTAGATTGGGTAAATACCTTATGAGCAATTTGAAAATATAAAAAAGTTGACAAAATATCGATTCAGTTCAATTTCCGGGGGGGGAGAGGAACTATTTGTGATTTTATGGTGAAAAATAAAAAGGAATTTATTTATGATGAGCTTACCTTGTAGTATTAAAATCATTAAATAATTCAAGTAATCCAGGAAAATATTTTTTTATGGGGTAATTAAGCTTATATATAAACTAAATTAAATTAAACCATTTATTTTATTTTATTGATTGATTTAATTTATATAATTAATTACAGGCATCAAATTATTGTAAAATTAAATCAAATTTTGTTGTTAATTAATTGTCATTATATAATTAATTCCCAGGAAACGGAAATTATGAAATAGTTTTTAATTATCATCCGGTGGGAAATTTAAAAGATTATTTACAAAATAATTTGACATCAAACGACAGAATTCGAATTTTAGACATTTATGTAATTCATTGTCTGAAGATTATGTGGACCAGTTGATGAAGAACTATCAAATAAACCTATGGAATTGTATCATATATTGCACCGGAGCTATTTAAAGGAACCAAGAAACAAAGAATCAGATATCTATAGTGTTGGTATGTTAATACGGGAATTATTTGCAGGCAACCCACCATTTGATAATAGAGCTCATAATCATTGCTTAATTATAGATATATATATGTGGAGGTTTACGACCACCAATATTACCAGTAACACCTGATGATTATGCACTAATGATGCAAAGATGTCGGGATGCGGATCTATTAAAAAGACTAACTATTAAAGAGCTTTGGGAATTTGCCGATGATAAATTAAAGGAACTGATGAAGATATTGGTGGTGATGATGGTGATAATAATAGTAGTAGTAATAGTAGTAGCAATAGTAAATAGTAATTTACAACAAGCATAGAATATTAAATTATGAAATACCTAATTTAAATTTAAACAATAGTGATAATTTATTAAGTGATCTTGATATTAATTCTGTTATCTGAAATATTAATTAATAATAATAAAGGATAAATAGTTGTAAGGTTGATAAGGTTGAAAATTTGATTTCACCATTATTGATTTCATTTAAATTTTTTATTTTGTTTATGTTTTATCATATTATCTCTTTAAAAAAATATTTGTATGTCGCTCACCACTCCCTATTAGAAATATAGCGCTGTAATTGAAAAAAGAAATCCAACTTTATATTAATTTAATTTAGGCATTACCAAAGGAATTGGAAATTGGAAATTGACACGTGACAATACATTCGGCAGAGGAAAGTAAACTAACAATGCAATCAAACAGAGATAATTAATTGATTTCCATTTGCTTTTGGAAATCTTCATGTTCATCTGTTGATTCTGTAAATTGATATTCATGCATTGAATCTAATTCATCTTCTTCAACTTCCTTGATCAAAACTTTTAACTTTTTCTGTCGCAAGAACACCAGCACCCGCATCCTGACTCTTTGTCAAAAGTAACAAAGAGCTGTAGCCACGTTTCCATTTTCTTCGTGATTTGATAATTTTTGGAAGTTCTATAATTTTGCCAAGTTCAACATAATCGTAGGGCTCAATTAAAGGTATTTCTTCACCAAAAATTGAATATCATTGTTTAACTATTTTTATCATCATATTAATAATAATATCAGATTTGTTATAAACTTGAAAATACCATTACTTAGAGTTCATTTTTCCAATTTGATAAAAAAACTTGTAGATAACAAAAATGATTAACAATATTGATCCACTTATATCTAAGTTTGAATTTCAGATGTTAAATCTTAATACCTTTACTGGGCCTGATTTAGTAGGTAACGGTGAAAGGTTGGTTTCATGGTGAACTTAGGGGGCAGTTTCTTTTTTGTGTAACATTTATCTTCATTGTCAAAAAATTATGTATCGTAAAAAATAAAAAAAAACCAATATTGATCTACCTAAAAAAGGTAATCTATTTATTAAATTCGCTACGTTATTTCCACAATGTCTGCATTAGATCGACTTGTTACAATACAGAACCATTTAAAACAACCAACTGGCTCTATTGACTTAGCAAATGAACGTGCTAATGCAAAATTTGATGTTAAACAATTACATTGGTTGTTTGAAGGTGGAAAGGAATATTCTGATGCCTTGGTACGAGTACAAATATAAACATGCAATTATAATGTTGGTATTAATTACGACTTTCCACTTTTATAGGATTTAGCGTATCAAATAATTCAACGTGATCCAGATTTATATATGACTGCTGGTCACAATTTTGATTTAACTAGACCAGAAGAGCGCGAACAGTAAGTTTTATATTTTTTTATTTAGAGGAAAATAAAAATTGAGGCAAAAAAATAAGAAAAATAATTTGATTCATTTTTTTATCAAGCGTTGCACGACAAATTCGACGTTTCAAAGAATTGGAAAAATCATTAAATGATCCATTGTTATTGGAAGCTTTAAAGAATGCTTTATAGTAAAAATTAATTTCTAATCAATTATGAGAAATTTTGTTAAACTATAATAAATTAATTAATTTTCTTATTATTATTATCAGCATGTATTCTGCAAGTTATAAAATGAAAGTATATGTTAACGATGTTTTATTTTATCAGACATTTAAAATATTTGGTACACCAGAACAATATGATAAATGGACAGATGATGTTAAAAATTGGCGTATTGTTGGTTGTTTTGCAATGGTAAATTATCTGTCTTTCTTATGAATAAATAAATCTCTAAATTTCAACATTTACAATTATTTTTTCTTTAAAAAATACAGACCGAACTGGGTTACAGGTAAGGTCAATTGATAAAGTATCACTGTAATATTTATATAAAGTTTAAATTTAAATTCAATTTTTTTAATTAATTTTTATTAAAATAGCTCTTTTATTCGTGGGTTAGAAACAACTGCAACATACAATCAAGCGACAGATGAGTTTATAATTCATTCACCAACATTAATGTCAACCAAATGGTGGATTGGAATGGCTGGTCAGACTGCAACACACTCATCTGTACTTTGCCAAACTATTGTCAATGGAAAAGATTGTGGTTTAAATTGGTTTATTGTACCATTACGTGATCATGAAACAGCAAAACTATTACCAGGTGTTACTGCTGGAGATTTAGGAGCAAAATCTGGACGTAATGGATTGGATAATGGATGGATACAATTTTCTTGTGTTCGTATTCCACGTGAAAATATGTTGATGAAATGGTCAAAAGTTACAAGAGATGGTAAATTCACACCCTCGCCTAATCCTGCTATATTTTATGCAACACTTATTTGTGAAAGATTGGCATGTTTACCAGCTGTGAAGAATTTTCTCTCACAAGCATTAACTGTTGCTTGTAGATATGGATGCGTTAGAAGACAGGGTCCAAATAAGGAAAAAATCATGGATTATCAAACACATTATGTTAGATTGATGCCTTGTGTTGCAAGTGTTTATGTTTTCAACGTTGTTAATAAGTAAGATTATATACAAATTCTATCTTAATATTTAATATTATAAATTTATTATAATGTTTAGTCTATTTAATTTATAAAAAATAAAAGACTTGTTAGTAATAGATGGGAGGAAATTTTAAGTTATACACAAACAAATCAACAAGAGTTTCTTAGAAATATTGGCGATATCCATGTAATATCATCAGGAATTAAAGTAACATCAACATGGTGGGGATGTGAAGTTTTAGAAAGATGTAGACGTTCATTAGGTGGACATGCTTATTCATCATATAATGCTATTGGTGGCGCTATTGATGATTTTGGTGTTCTTACAACTGGTAAAATAATTAATAATAATTTTGGGATTAAAATTAATTCAAATAAATGATTAATTAATTTGTAATAGGTGGTGGAGATAATTATGTACTTATACAACAAACAGCGGTATGAATTGATTGATGTTTGTTTATTTTAAAAGAAATATATATACAAAATGTACAAATAATTTTATTTATTTAGAAGTATTTGTTGGAAGCTATAAAAGATGTTTTTGAGGGAAAGAAAGTCCATGGATCTGTTAAATATTTGAATAATTATAATAAATATATTGAAGCTTCAAAGAGTAATTTAACAAGTCTAGAACAATTATTAGATTTGTATTATAGTTTAGAAATGTATACTTGGCTTGTTGTTAAAAGGGTAAAATTATTTATATTTGTGTATTTGTATATATTTTCATATTCACATATATTTACCCAAATGTATATATTTGTAGATAAAATTCCTAGCAAGTGTAAAAAATATAACAACAGATTCAAACAGATGGAATGAGAACCAAGTATATTTGGTGAAATTGGGGGAAATCTATACACATCAATATATGATGTCAGAATATATTAGAGGCCTGGAAATCTATAGCCAGAGCACCACTACAGAATACAAAAACTTATTGCCAATCTTGACAGATTTAGGTCGATTATGGTTTATACATGTGATTCATGACTCATTGGAATTGTATTTGGAAGAAGGGTATTTCACCAGAGAACAAGTTGATTTGGTAAGAAGGGCTTATTTAGATTTGTGCAAGCAGTTAAGAGAACAGGTTATACCACTTGTTGATGCTTGGGGACTGCCTGATTTTATTATTAAAGCTCCATTAGGAAGATATGATGGTGACATTTATACAGGTAATTAATTAATTATATTACCTAACTGGAGGAGTGATGTATTTCAAAGTTTTTTTTTCTTATTAATAACATTTTTTGTTTTGGTAGCATACTTTGATGTAATTAGATCTGCACCTAATTGTATTGGTGTACCAAAATATTGGCAAGATCATATTAAACCATTAACTAGTTCTACCACTAATTTCTAATAATCTATTCTGGTAAATTAATTTAATATTTTTTTTCATAATTTATTGTATTTGTAAAAATAAAAATAATTATATATGGTACAAAACCAAACAATGAACATTTTTGATGTCAAAAGATTCGAATGGTCCATATTTAATAATCAGATACTGTTAAATTGAAGGCATTTGTATAGCAGGGCTTTCGGAATATTGTTTTATTTAAATTATAATCAATTGTTTTAAATTTAAATTTACCAGTTAATATAGGAGCCCTGGAATAAGACCTCATCTGATATGTATTTGGAGGAATTAAAGGATCTATAAGACCAATAAAAACTGTATTTAGGTTATCATGATGTGGAAATTAAAGTTGGAAATGATGGCCAGGATAATGTTAAAATCTTTTGTATTTTATCAAATAATTATCACATATTCTTAAATCAATAGTTGATATTATGAAATTTTTAATGATTTGATTATAAAACAAAGTTGCTTAATTTCACTTTTAGTAAGCCTTATTGAATGCATGTTTAAAAGGCAGAAAAAATAATGTTAACATCTTAATTAATATGAGAAAGAAGCCCTTGGATTGTATAATTTACAATTATATGCATTGCAGTATTTATTTAATTACACTGTTAATGCAATTTTTCTAGGGAAATAACAAATAATTAAGGCAAAATTCTGTATTATCCTTCCTACCTTCCAAATGCTTAAGGGTAGGGGGAATCATGTGATAATTTACAAGTCAACCTCCTAAGTGCACCCCCCTTGGGAATGAGTGGGTGCGTGCATTTAGGGAATTAAAGCATTTTATTGGCTGCACATATTAGTGACTCATGTGACACTAAAAATTTTTAAACTACAAAAAAAAAAAAAAAATCAAGACATGAATCTATCTATTGTAATTTGTTCCATTATATTTATTTTTTTTTAAGTTAATATATTTTTTCAAAAGAATTAACTGATTTTGCTTGTTCATTGTATGGTCAATTTCCAAACTTGTTAACTATGGTAGAAATAAGTTGATAAGAATGTTAGCCAAAATGGTTTTTGAAAAAATCAATTTTGGCAAGCAATTTTGGATTTATAATATTCTTTGTATCAATAGACATACAAAATCTACCCAGCCTTTTAATATTTAATTAAAAGTCCAAATAATTTTAGATGTAATTTTGGCAACTAATAAAATTAATTTCAGCATTTATGAAAAACTATTTCACCCTTATTAAGAGAGTCAACTTCAGCTAACATGCTTACAATTGACTCAATTGGGTGACTTTTTGATGCAATTAATTGAGTCATATGAAAAAATATAACTAATTGAGTCAAGACACAATTAAAAATTGAGATTTTGGGAATTAAGTCAAAGCCAAATTTGTAAAATTTTCTAAGGTTACACGATCAACAATGCATAAAATCACGTGTAAGTCACGGTCGTGCATTTAGGGAGGGTGGTTTATATAGTTGGGAATGAAAAAAGACCATGCAGTGCAGGTATAGTGGGGTGCAATTATCTCTTAAGCCCCGGGCTTGGGAATGAGTGAAAGTGTGCATTTAGAGAGGGGTGTGCATTTATGGGGGTGCATTTAGGGGGGTTGACTGTACCAATAAATAAACAAAATGGAATGAACAGAAAATAATTTTTTGTATAATTTTGTAACTTCTGTGCTTGCTCCTCCCAGTTTACTTTACTTTTTTTACTTTTGTTCTAACCTAACCAGCTTTTTTTCCCCTTTCATTAAGGTTGTCATTTCTTGTCTTGCTCCTCAATTCCCTCAGCCACTGTCCATCTTCCCCCCTCTTCAAATGCTTTTAGCTTCTTCTCAGTCTTTTCATAATATCCTTCTGCTTTATTTATTCACTGCCTAATTTCTTCATATGTTGTCATTTTTAAAAGATTTTTTTATTTAGATTGTTTTTATGGATAATTTCGACCAATGATAAATTAGTGGGCACATGACTTGGAATTTTACGAATTAGACAAAAGTAGTAAGTAGTGATGGGCATAAAAATTATCTTTTAAAATGATCAAGTTATCAAGTAGCTAATAACTCTTGCTCAGAATGAAATAGTTAATAAATGGCTAATAGCTAATTAATAACTTGAATTATTAAGTGTATGGTTAAAAATTCCCATAACTAGACAAAAGAAAATTATTTTTATTTCATGAATTTCAATGGCTATTTCACTGAATGAAAAATCAAGATTCAATCCAATCTTTTTATCAAATAACTGTGGTGCAAAGTTTTTCCATAAAGTATCAATTTCTTTCAGATATCTCTTTTCACCAAACATTTTACTAGGCTGTATTTTTTCCCAGCCTCTATTTTCATCAATCATTTTATTGATTCTTTGGTTTATATTACAGAGCTGGTTGTAATTTTTATAATGAGGAAAAAGACCAAGATTAATAAGCCACAGATGAATTCAGTGATAAAGGTAAGCATTTTCATCAAATATTTTAAAGAAAAAAGCTATTTTATTTTGATTTCAAGTTTTGGATTTTTAAGGTTGTAAAATAAACAAGAGTTATGGTTAAGGTTGCTTGCCGAAACCTCTTAATGACTGCCAAAACTCTAATAAACAATTAGTGTGTAACCTGCCAAAACTCTGCTAATTGTCAAAATCCCTAAATGTGAAACTCTGCCAAAACTCTAACAAACAATTAGTGTGTTACCTGCCAAAACTCTAACAATTGATTTCCAGAGGAGTTTTGACAAGCAACCATAGTTATGGTAATGATTTTTGATATTATTTATTAAAGAATTTTTATTTTGAATTTTTACCTGCTTATTTATAATTTTTTTCCTTATACTTGAAGCTGAAGAAGAAATGATAAAAAGTGAAAGAATCTTGGCAACCCTATTTTAGTATGAACAACAATAATAAATAATTTCTTTATTTGAATCATCAGGAAATTTTTTCTGATGCAGATTTATGTAATTATTACACTATTTACATAAGTTTATAGTGGGCCCTGTAATATTATGCAAATAAGCATACAAAAATTATGCAATTATTACATTGGGTGTAAATATTACATAATTTTTTATGCAAATATTACAACTTTACATATTAAAATTTATGGACGTAATATTACAGTGGGGAAAATTTCCTGATGATCCTGAAACTTTTGGTATGTAATACAAATGTTCAATTTGTCTGGTTTTGTTGTTGCAGATGCCCATATATAAAATTTGAAAATTTAATCAACAATCATTTTTGTAATAAATAGTTAACATATAGAATTTCACATGTATAGTAATAGTCTTTAGATGTCTAATTATTATTATTATTAAAACAAACGAAAAATGACACAAAACTCATAGCACCGCCTTTTCCCTTGCTTGGATTTTTTTTGTTTTGTTTGGTATAATTTTGGTTGTGTTTATGTTTTCCTATATTTGTCAATAAAACAGTAGTAGAGGAAATAAAACAAGTCATTATCATGCTCATATTTGGAATAAATGAGCTGAATGAATGTACAGAATGTACAGGAACATATGGATCCAAGAAAACTCAACTTTTACTAAACAGAATTCTTTGGGAAGAATGAAATGAAAAAAAATCAAGGTGCTTCTTATGATTAATGAAAATTATCTTTTCCTTGATTGAAAAGATTGGCATGTGTGAGAGATTATTAATTATTAAAGGACCTTTTTACAATTTGTTATTGATAGATCTACATCTGCACCACAAAACAAGATAATACTTGAGAAAAACCCCATACCTAAATCCAATAGTCAAAACTCATTAAACTAAATATGTTTTCACAAAAAACCTTAATAAAATTGGCTTATAGAAAGATAAACTTTAATAAGAACAGATAAAAAACATCAGTTTATCATGTGTATTTATTCATTTTATCAATGCATAATCTTAATGACTGTATAATATTTTATTCCAAAGCATTATTAAGACAATCAGCACTCCACCTCACAATTCGCCCCTGCCTGACCGCCCTACATTTCATTAAATCCTATTGGATGCAAGATGGAAATTTTTTCTTAAAATATATATTTGAGTAACACAATAATTTGACCCACTAGATTGATTAATATTAAAAGGTGATTGTCTCCCTTTAAATTTTTATTTATTATACAAAAGTCTGCTAATGAGAAATTCCAATAGCATATCTTGTTTGTTTGTGTTGTGGGGTCATAGAAAATAATTATCAATAGTAGTAGTTGCTGGCTGCAATAATATTATTATAAAATAGTAATAATAATGTAAATTTACACTAATCATACAAGAATAATTATATATCCTCAGGAAACAGTAACATATATTCTATGTGCTGTATGGGGTTAGTGCATAATATATCTATAATTTGCATATACTTTTAATACATGGGGTTTAACGGGAATGAGACAATTGTGTATCTATAATATACATAGAATAATGATGATTATCAACTACTGTTAATAAGGATTTAATTTTAACTATGAACAATGTGAAGGAATGAATAATTTTAATAAGGCGATTTACTCAAGGAAGATTAGTCCAGGCAGGCGTTATATGAGGTGAAATAGGCAGAAAGAAAGGGACCCCATTGACAAAAATCCAATTTAGAGAAATTGACAAAAAAAAACTGTTTTGAAGGAAATTAATTACTAGTGTTTTCACAACTTTAAAGAAAAAATTTATTTAGGTATGGATTCTAAGCTAAAAAAAGAGGTAAATATTTTATTAATTAAGATGCTAGATAGATGATAATTAGAATTATTATTATTACAATGATGTTTAAAAAAAATTAAAGTGTATCGTTTAAAACTTAATTAATCAAGAACTCAAAAAATTTTTTGAAAAAAAAAAGAGTAATGATTACTTAATCTTCTCTCTGAGTAATTAGTATTAGTTTAACATTTTTTTAAAAAAATGAAAGAATTGAAATCAAAATGTCTAACGAAATATTATTTTCTTTAACAATATTTATTTAGGACATCTTTATGTGAAATGATTTATGTGATTTATGATAATAATGTTTGGCAAGTAATTTCCATCCTTCAACTCATTCATTAACTCTGATCAATCTTAGAATTCTAAAATATTAATAATAAAAAAAGTATTTCCCTCAAAACGAAGCACTCTCTCGTTTTTAAATACATTTTGGGAGTTCATCTTGATCCTAATGACAATTATGAATTTCATCAATATCAATAGCCTTTGCGTAATTCCACCCGTGAGATGAATATCAATCTTTTCGACTTTGTAATGTGATGATATGTGTGAACTCCTCGAAGCTCTGTATTTCAAAGTCTTAATTATGTAACATTACTGATCCAAATGCATCATCTGGTAATATTTGTTCATAAAAACAAATATCCACCGATCTCATATTCTTGCCAATTCGCTCAACCAGTTTATACCCATATCACAATTATAATATAGAAATGTTACTCTCTTGCTGCCACTAATTATTTAATTAATACCTATCTATCCATTTCTATCTTATTCCCGAGCAATTATAATAATTCATTGTTGACGAATAACTTTCTTTAAATTAACTTGTGGATAGTCAATCTCGGTGCATGCTCCACAAGAAAATCCGTAATCTTCTGGATGAATGTCATCGAAGATTGGCGAGAGGGTTGTGCGAAAATCATCATGTAGTTTTGCTTCCTTAGTTTATAAAACACAAGAAATAGTTAAAAAATACGCTTCTAGAAAATCCACTCTAAAATTGCAAGACAAATGTTGACCTTGTCACATTACAGTTTTCGTCAATATTTGCTCCGTAAATCCCCCGAATACTTTTGGTTCAGGGTCGTCACCCGCACTTGGAAATACACCAGCAAAACATGCGGATGTTGTGGAGTCATCAAGTCATATCTGGGTGGCTCAAAGACCTTTGATTGCACACCTTGCAAATCCACCGTTAATAGAGATGTAAACGAAGTTTGTGATATGCTTTTGGAGTATATCAACAAGAGTCGTTCGCGATGTTAGAGTTTACACCCGAGACGCCTTATTGTAGGCTATCTGCGTAAGACTTGTACTTAGTATGGTTCAATGTAAGAGGTTAGTATTATCTTTTTTTAAAGGATGTAATACAAAATTCCTTTTTTTTATGGGCTTGTTACTGATTTCAACCAGCGTATTAATTAGTACGTTATAATAAAAGCCATTATTAAGGCAAATTAAGGCTTCCTCCAATTAGACCATTTTCAAATTATTACCATACATAGGATTAGAAATTGTATGGTTGATTCTTCTTATATTTCACTTATTTTTATTTTGTTGAATTATTAAATTGTTTTTCTCCAATCTGTCAGTAATCAAAAGTGACACTATAAATATTAAAGTTCAACACTCGCCATTTCAATTTCAATTTCAATTTCAATGGTCCTGTAACTTTGATGACACATGTATAGAAAGTAGTTAGTTTTATTAAAAAATTTTGCCCATGCTCATTGTCACTTGTAACATTTTATTTAATTGTAAAAGCCATCGGATGTTGATATCATTGCAATTGCGTGTGTTCAAAATCGTAAATAACGGATAAAAAATCTTATCTGACACGCGTGAATTTACAAATTGGGAAATGATGTTGATCAGTCGATAGAATTATTCAATTGGCTAATACTAATTGAAATCAAAAAAATTTTCTTCAATTCTCAAAAAAATCCACATTTTATAATGACATATGTCAATACAATTTTTACCGAAGGACCCTTAGAGGCACAGGTATGTTATTAAACAATAAAAAAATTTTATCCTTTTTAATTTGGACGTTTTTAACAATGATTATGATAATGATTTTATTTTGTCGATTTTCTGATATGATAGGCATTAGAGTTTGCTGCTTACGTTAGTAAGCTTAAGGGTGAACCTGAAGGAAATGAACCTTTAGAGACAAAAATAACTACATTGTTAAAAGAAAATAAAGTTGAACAAGTATTTCAAATATTTGCAGAATCTACATCAGTGTTACTGGATGCACCAGAGAAAGGTATTTCTTTGGAAATTGATAAGAGATTCTTTTGATTGATTGATTGATTGATTGGTTGGTTGGTTGGTTGATTGGTTGATTGGTTTATTGGTTTATTAGATGGAATGATTTTTACACACACATGCATATCATCTTCAATTATTTTATGTTTCATGTATTATATCAATTAATCAATTATCTCTGATAAAAAAATATCTTTTCTCTCTTTTTTAACAGAATTCGAAGCTATATATAATCTTCTTATTGCCATTTTAAAATTTGCACCACCTGAAACACATCCATCTTTAATTAGGACTTCTGTCAAAGGATTAGTTGATGTTCAAAATGATAAAGCAATTCAGAAACTTAAAGTGTTGGTTCTTTATTGTTAATTTCTATTATAAAGTTTTTTTATTAATTAGAAAATAGATTCTGTTATTATTAATTAATATGTATATGTATATATATATTATTTATATTATATAGTCTTCAGAACTTATATAACACTTTAGAGTCCACATCACCATTGCGTTATGATGTATTTATAGCAATAATTGATGTTGTTACCAAAAATGATGAAATAGAAATTTTGCTTCCTCAATTATCTTGCTTAGATATTTGGGTTAAGGAATGGGCAATTACTACAGAACAAGTTCGTGAATTATATTTAAAAATCTCTGATAAATTAAAAGAGGCAGGTGAATCGTATGTATTTAATTTATTTATGATATTAATATGTTAATTTTTATAGTAATTTAATCATCACTTTTACTAAATTATTTATTTTATAATGATAATGATGACTATTATTATTATCTATTAGTAAACAATCCTATGATTTCCTATTAAGATATCTTAAAACTTATGCACAATCTGAAGATTTTTCTGCAGCTAAACAATATATAATTAAAGCTGTAGTTGAGGCTATTAGATTACCTGAAATTTTGAATTTTCAAGAGTTATTTGATTTGACTACAATAAAATTGTTAAAGGATGAAGAAGGAGAACTTTTTGAATTGTTGAAAATATTTTTAAGTGGAAACTTAAAAGATTATAAATCTCTTATTAGCAAAAATCCAGGAATCTTGGAAAAGTTTGGTAAACTAATAAATAAATTAAAAAATAATATTAATAAAAAAAAATCTGAATTTTTATTACTTAAAACCTAAAATCAGAACTTTCAAATGAGGATAGTATACGTAAAATTCGATTATTAACATTGGCATCTCTTGCATCTGAACATGTTGGAAGCGAAATTTCTTATGAAGCCATTACAAAATCTTTGGAAATTGAAGAGAGTGAAGTAGAAATGTGGATCATAGATGGTATATCATATAATATCCTATACTTATTTATAGGAATGTTTACTGATTTAAATTCCATTAAAATATTATCTATTATATTTATATATATTACAGTCATCCGTGCAAATTTGATGGAAGCAAGAATCAATCAACTTCATAAGGCAATTTTTATCAATAGATCAACATACCGAACATTTACAACTGCTGAATGGGAAAAACTATCAAATAAACTAGAAGGATGGAAACAATCACTTGCAGATATTTTACAAGTTATTGCAAACGCCAAATTAATTAGGCAAAATTCAAATTCAAATGCCAACTTGCCTACTACTATTACTAATAACGCAACCGTTGTTGTAACCGATGGTGCTAATAATGTTAACAATGTTCAAGAGGATATTTCGTAATGTTATAATAAATTATATATATGTTTTATAAATTAAGTATGATAATAAAATTTGTATAAAATTATTTATTTTATTTCCATATAATTGATTGATGCAAATTTTACAAAATAATTAAATAAATATTCGAACAATTAATTAATTCCTAATTTTTTTATTATTTATTTTGGAGAACTGGTCGTTGAAACAGTTGTTGATTATAGGTGATGAAGGAAATATATCAATACCAGAAACAAATTAATAGTATATTTTTTTTTGCTTTAATTAATACACACACTTGTGGGAAGCTTCTGCAAAATTTCGTTTCCCCATCTCTGATTCTTTTTTTACTCTAAAAACTTGATAGAGAATATATAAGGAAGGCTTTGAAGCTTGATTTCTTTATTCCGATCACAAATGACTCAGTCTACGACCTTTTTGTTGGAAGATTTGTTTGATTAAACAATGGACACGATCTTGATACGATTGTTAAGATATTAATCAATCATTCATTCATTCATTCACTCCAAGAAATAAATTCATCGTCGCATGATTTACAAGAGTTTTCTTATTCTATATATTATGAAAATTGATTTAGCAACATCATTACAGACCGAGTGTTGAGCCAATGATTCCTAAATTGCCATTCCGAAAGATTATAAAGATTCGAACTACACAATGGTACTACATCGAGATACTTAACAGTTTAGGATGTTGAAATAAAGGCACTCTTATTAGTATAAAATATACACAACTATATAATCAGTTCCCCGAAGGAAAGCACAAGAGGACATAAAGTCATAACCGTTATAACCTATTTTTATTCTTTATTGTTTGCAATTAATCCATCTCTCCAGACTTCCAAATCACTGTAACGTCACGTTATATGATTCGTCATGTTATTTATTATTATTATTATTATAAACTTATTTGTTTTTGTTGATCAACTACAATCCAGCCTTGGTGGTATTTTAAGATGTTTCTACCATTCATTTCGTAACAATGGTGTTTTATAATAGCGTTTTATAACAAATAATGTGATTCTTCAATGAAAATGAGAACATGAGACAATATCACTTTGTAAAAAAGATTGGACCATGATAATAATTTAACTCTCATTAGTGATAAATAATTATGATGATGTTGATGAATTTATTAATTTAGAAGATAGTAGTAACAATCAAGAATTCTATGAAAATGTATAACATAAGTTTATTCTATCAATAGGGATGGTATATAAAAGATTTGAGAGGTATATATATATATATATACCTTACTAAAAATTACACAAGAAATCAATTGTGGTATAATATTTACTGCTGGAGCTGCAGTTTTAAGAAGAATTTTGGAATAAAAACCGAGTAAGTAATGAGCACTTGAATGTCTAAGGGTAATAAATCGGGTTCAATAATAATTTTTTTTATCTTAGTTTGTTACAAGAATGTGATTATGATGTGTCAACGACCGATCATACAACATCAACTGTCTTTGGAAAGGACCATGAGATAAGCGAAACAAAATAATAGAGGTTAAAAATAGTGAATCTCTGTGGCTTCGAAAAAAAAACGCCCTAAAGCAAAAGATGTTGACAATTTTTTTTTCTTTGCATTATTTCAACTCTGAAAACTTTACTAGGTTGCTATCCACTTTCAATTGGATAATGCTCCTATAATTTTTATTTAAATTTAGGATGCTGCCAATCTCCAATATACAAAACAGTCGCGTACAAGTAATAAGAATGATGCTGTGGAAAAGTGAACTGATACCAATGAAAGTGGAATTCTCAGTAACATTTTAGATGTGACGATTTACCTTTGGTTGGTTCTTTAAAAAATTTCGAAGATGAGCATAGATTCGAATTTTTAATCCCATCCTGAAACCTATTTTTGATATTGTACATAAAATTTACAGCATTAAACTTAAACAGAGCACTTGGTAGTTCAACAAAACGTCCAGATTTTCCTTGCCATATTGATGATCTTCCGATCATAAACACAGAAGTAAAACCATTGAGATATACTCGATTTCAGAAAATCAAAAGATTTCATAAAAGCCATTTGTGCGCAAAAAAAACTATTGATGGGGCTAATTGATCGAAGAACGGGCCTTACAATTAAATATGGGTAGGCGAACTCATGCCATGAGATGTTTATTTCATTGAAAATTTCACCTGAATTGTTGTTTATTTAATAATCTAGGTATATACATTGAATCTTTCATAATTGATTTGGATGTGGATGGTGTATATAGAGTATTCCCTTTTATGAAATCCATTTTACCGATTGATAAACCGTCGATTGTGTCATTGTCTCCTACTTTAGCACACCTAATAGCATTACATGTATAAAGAATGCTAAAGTTTTTTTGCTTTAGGTTTTATGATATATTTTTTCTCATTATTACACTGTTCGCTGTAATTCAGGAACATGTTGCGGCACTGGCAGAAGATTATAGGTCCGGGCCTAAATATTTTACACCATCAAGAAGATCGAGTTACAATAGAAAATCACTAGATTCACCACAAATAAAAAATTTGATGAAGTGAATCTTTCTTTTTTGGCCCTGTTTTTTAACTTTTTTTTTAAAATAGTTAATATATAAAACGAAATCAATTTGGTTTGATAAAAAGAATAAAAACGTTAAAAAATTTTTGACTATTAATTGATTACCCCAATTTTTTTTTTTTTTTGACTGCAATTCCCACAATCCATATAATTCTTTGACACAACAATAATAATGTGCAATGTTGTATTTATTTTCATTTTATTTATTTTTTAAGGGTAGAGCTCGATTACATATAAAATGTATGGCAAATTTTGGGTACCATCACTACACGTATTTGGAAAAAAGTTTCGGAACACTCGCTTCGCAAAATATACATATTAGATCAACGATACACAACAGCAAAAAACTGGCATCCCAATTAATAAAAAATTCTGGATCAACGCAATAATATTTTCTTCAATTATTTTTTTATAATAACAATAATTTCTAAAAATAAATGAATAGTCGTCACTTTATTTGTTGATATGAAGATAATAATTTTTTCATTTTGATCTCATTTTTAGTAATAATAAATAAATGTCAAGTCTTAATAGTAAATTTCATTTGTTTTTAGTACAAATTAAATTATTATGCATGTGTGCGCATGCAAATTTTTGACAAATACAGTCAAAGCTCTCTATAACGAACCCCCTGGACCGAGAATTTTGGTTCGTTATAGAGAGCGTTCACTATAATGACAAAGAACCTCATTTATGGTCACTTGAACATATTATGAATAATTTATTGGCTACGAGTCATTAAGTTTCATAAAATAAAAACGATCATAAAATAGAAAAATTAAGTATTATTCATATAATTATCAATTTTTAATTGTTCTTTTGAATTAAATATATTTTTGACTTTTCTCATTATCAGTTAATTGTGACTTGTCTGTTTGTTGTTCAAAGTATAATTTTGATTTTTTCTATTGAAAACAAAAGAATTATTTCAGGCATATTATTATTAGTATCAACAATAGCAAATAATAATAGTAATAAGAAGAATAATATAATAATAAATTTTTTAATTTTTCAATAATAAATAAGTTTAATGTTACACGGGTTCGTTATGGGGAGCAAGACAGTTCGTTATACAGAATAGAGAATTTAACTATAAAGTTCGTTATATAGAGCAAATTTCATTAATAAAAAATCGGGACCAAAATCTTAGTTCGTTATAGAGAGAAGTTCGCTTCTCGGAGGTTCGTTATAGGGTAAAGTTCCTGCCATATTTTCCCTCAAATTCTCAACTTGTTCTTTAAAAGGAGTTAATTTGGAAACACTTTTTTCTAGAAGAGCATTCTTTTCTTTTAGTTCTTCTTTTTCTTGATAAGTAAAACTAAAAACTTGCTCATAACTTCATGCTTCATCTCCAAAACTATTAACAATGTTTTCAGGAGTGAATTCATTGTTAAAAAAGAAAAACAACCCTTCCAATTTCAATTCCACTCTTTTCAGGATAACTTAATCAACCATTGGTAGGTCAAGTGGATCTTTCTAAGATTCTTAAAGCTAACAAATTCTCAGTTTAAAATTCTCTTCTTTATCAGTTAATTGCTTTTTTAATGTTTTGATTTCATTTAATAGCTCTTTATTTGGTTGTTGTTGTTCTTTTAGAATGTTTGTCATTATTTTTTTGTTTGTTCCTTTTTTATTTATTCTTTTAATATATACTTATATCACTTTTCATGAGGGCATATTAAGTATATAATTATTTTAGTACTTTTTTACTTTAAATGTGGAAAAAGCTAACAATATTTAACAAAAGATTAAGCGTATTAAACATAAGTCATAGAGGTGATTATATTTTATTCATTGCCAGTATAGATTGGTCTTGGGCAAGTAATATCTTTGTGGTTGAGATATGTGGTTTTTTGTGCGCACCCTTTTTTTGAAACACAATGTATAATTTACATTAAGGAACAGGTACAAATGATTCAACTGTTAGAATTTAGGAGGACACGCAGGAAAAGTTAAATTATTGTTATTTTCAGATAATTTGATTAAAATATGGGATTTAAGGAAACAAACAAATGTCCAAACTTTAACATTAGAAAATGCAAATAATATTAATAATCAATTAAATGTATTTGTATATTTTGCATAAAATTTTTCTTTATTATGATTGTAAAATCTTTTGTTTTTCAATTACAGTCGCAATAGATAATAATAAATATTATTTCAATCATTTACACACTTTCCGTTTTACAAATGTACATTCCACCGATATCAGAAACAGTTCCACCATTAAATTACGATTATAATTACGATTATATTATTATTATAAAGATATTTTATAAAAAAGCGTCTTGTAAATTTATGTATGTGTAAAATATTCTATATCGTGTTGTCACATGATTCGCATTCAACTTCCAACCATGAATATAAAGCCTTGTCATGCTCCTTCATCAAATATTCATTATATCCCGCACATATAGGCCATTTTATGTTTGTTGTATCTTGAAGAACTGGATGCTGTGTTTTACCCTCCTCTCCAGTCCACCAACATTCCCCGAGGAAGTGAATATTAATCCAGTCGTCATATGGGGGCTGTTCTAGGAAAAAGTGGGTTTCTTCAGATTTTTTGTTTTTGAGATATTCATAAAAACAAAAAGCACCCCATTTTTGTTGATCATCCGATCTGTACTACAATTAAAAATGTCTGTTGAAAAACTTTTTTTTGATTTGGTAGAACTGGGATTAGAAGAATATGAAGAAAATGAATTTGTATTTAATACCATTGCTGAAGTGCAAGAAATTTTCCATAACTCTGAAAATTGCACTTGTTATAGACGTAGTAATACTAAAAATTTTCACCCTTGCTTTGAAATAATTGGTTTTAAACCATTTTTTGAACGTTTAATTCATTTAAAAGGTTTAGATAAAAAAGAAAAAGATTTATTTATTAAAACACAACTAATGATGGGAAATCTCTCTAGTAATAAAGATGACCAAAAAGTTTACTATAAATATCAATTTAATGGTTTGATAAAAATATGTCAGAGTATTTTTATGAAATTATGTGGTATTGGGAAACGGACTTTGGAAAATTTACAAGATCATTACAAACAATATGGACTTGATGAGCGTATTCATGGAAATACAGGTCGTGCACCATCACTGGAATCTAAAATTAAAATAACAAATGAAATTGCAACTTCAGTTAAAAACTTTTTAAATAACTATGCTCTTGATTGTGGATTACCTTCACCAATGCGAAATCGTAAAGATTCTGATGTTTTTATTTATTTACCTACTGATGCTACTTATACTTCTGTTTATGAAGAATATAAAAGACATTATATAAAAGAAATTGATAATAATGTGATCTCACGTGTTAGTTTCTGTAGACTTTGGAAACAACTAATGCCCCATTTCAAATTCCAACCATTAGCTACTGATATGTGTGATACTTGCACTGACTTTAAAGCACAATTAAAATCTAAAGCTAATGAAAATAATTATGAAGAAATTCAAGGAAAATACACAGAACATCAACAATTAGCAAAGATTGAAAGAGATCTTTATACAAAGAATATTATGAAAAGTATTAATTTTAATAATGTTGCAAATATTCTTTATGATTGGGCCCAAAATGTATCAATCCCACACTTACCTCAACAACCAGGAGCTATGTATTTTAAATCTGGGTACAATGTAAATATATTTGGTGTATGTAGGACTGATGGAGGAGAGAACATTCAATTAAATTATCTTGTTGGAGATGATGAATTTCCCCAGGGTGTTTCAAAAGGCTCAAATACTACTCTAAATTTAGTTTATCATGCATTAAATAAATTAGCTAGAGTTGGA